TGCATATATTAATTATTTATCTCATTCATTTTTCTTTGGCTCATTTATGCTCCTATAAAGTAAATCAAAGTCTCTTCTATAAGAATGTAGAATTAGCACTTATTAACTTTTATTTCCTCCTCGTCTATTATCTATATTTTCAAGATAATTTGCTAAAATATTTTCATTTAAGCTCCTTTATAATATTTTTTTTTCTTTCACCTAATAGTTGTTTTAATACACAATAACATAACTTAAATTAGTGTGGATGTTTAGAAGAGATGGGAAAATTTTAAGTGTCGATGGTAGTAGTGGCAGTTCTCTTGCTCTCTTACCCAGCGCAAGGTTTTAATCAATATAAAAATATCTATATAGTATCTTAGTATATACAAGAATAAAGATGCCAAATTTATTTTATAATTTATTATAAAAATTCAAATTAACTTATTATTGCATAAGTATTTACAAATATTAGAGACTTAGAACTCTAGCATATAGGTTGTTGGATATAATACAAAGAGAATTCAGTTCAAATTCAAAGGATATGTGTATTAGGATCATAATTGCAAATTTGGCTTAAATAAAATTTTTATTTATATGATTTAAATTAGTTGAATTAAGTTAGGTCATATAATGGATGAATTAATATTTAAATGGATGAAATATAATGAATGAATGTTGATTAAGAATAGATGAATTTTTATTTATGAATGAAAATTCATTTGTAGATGAGAATTTATCTTTGATAAATTTTAATTTTGGAAGATTTTTATTAATAAAAAAAAAATTAAGAAAATTTTAATAATATAAAATAAAATAACATAAGAAATTATTTTTAAATATAGAGGTTTTTTAGTTGTTTAAGTGGCTTATATTGTTGTAGTAGATTATATGAGTGTGAATTTAACTAGTTTAAGAATTTAAGTTCTTTTTAATAAGAACTAAGAAGAAATTTTATTTAACTGTTTTATAAATTAATTAGTAGTTGTGAACTAGAATAAATCACCTACTGTAGGGATTTATTTAATTTATAATTGAGAAGTTATTGGATTTATTGAATTTTATTTAAATAAAATTGTGAGTTGATAGAATATTTAAGTAATTAATTTGTTGTGGACTGAAATAGATTTCTAACTAGTGGGGGCTTATTTTAATTCATAAAGGATATTCCACAACTTTCAATATTAAATAAAAATTTCCACAAAAAAATACAATTTATTTCTTTTAAGAAAAAAATCAACATAAAAAATAAAAATAAATGTTAGTTTAAAGGTGAGTAGTCTGCAATCTTCAAAATACAATAAAAAATGAAATAATCCACTTACTTCTAAAATAAATAAAAAATAGGTGAATTAATATTTTTTTCAAATTTTTAAGGACAAAAATTATAAATAATCAAATAATCAATATATTCTTCTATCACTAGAAAAGAATATATAAATATTTAAAGATGGTATAATATTAAGACTAGAATGGCTATTGTCAAAAACAATAAGACTAGAGATTCTTGAAACAAGATTAAGAATAAGACAAGTAATGACAAGAATAAGAAAGGTTTTATTCTTGCTTCTATATATATTATCTAACTAGGAGTTATATAGAAATATTCTATAGGACCTCCAATACATGTTCAATCTACAAGATAAGCTTTCTATATGTACACCATATAGTTAACTTGTACCATAAGTCATTAATATGTACATTTTGTGGTCAACTTGTTGCCCAAGTTTTCAACTTATAAATCACCTACAAATATGTATAAAATCAAATCCATGTCTATGAAGCTACAAAAAATCTATTCAACAAGCTATTATCAAATCTACTTAATTTTAGTTACTTCTATCTAATTCCTTTAATTTATATAAATATATATGTCAATGACAACATTATATATTGTCTACATGCTCTTTTATTGATTAAATTACTTTAGAACTATGAAATTTCATCATCCTACATGAATTATAAAATATTTCATAAATTATTAAAATACTATCCACTAAGATTATAAATTAAAAAATATATATTTATATGTCTATAATAACATTTATATATAGAAAATTAATTTTTATATTCAATAATTTGGTTATTTTTTAAATTTTGAATAAAATAACCATGCAAATTTTAAACTAAAATATTTTAGTTATTTAATTAAAAATATATATTATGAAATAAAATTTGAAATTAGCAAAACAATCAAGAATTTTAGATATAATTATTTTGTAATACATGGATAAAAATTTGTGAAAATAATAATTATATATTGTAAAATTTAAATATGAATTAAATATTTTATCAAATTTTATAATTTAATATAAATAAAATACTATAAATAATATGTGTAATTTAGAATTAAATCAAGAATTTAAATTTAAATATTAAATATATTACATATATTAAATTTTAAAAACTTAAAATAAGATTTAAAAGTTTTCATTCAGATTTTATGATATTAAGAGTTTTAAAATAATTTGTCACAAACATAAGAACTGTAGCAACAAATTTTGTATTAAATTTTTAATTAAAAAAAACCATAATACATATTATTAATTCTTGTATAACAACATTTTATTGTATTGAAATAAAAACAAAAGTTATGATTTTGAATACTTATAAATAAAATAGTGAAGTTATCAATTGTATTGAAATAAAATTTATTTGCACCTTTATTTGGTATAAGTTTATTTACATGCTAAATATTAAATAAATTCTTAAATTTCTGTCTTCTAATTATAATCAAATATTCCTTAATTTCACATTAAAGATAAGAAACATTAATCATGTATTGTAATTATTAAAATATGTATTTTCTCTAAGTTTTTAATATGCATTGCTATATAAAATTTTAATAAAATATGTTTTTTTATCAATATAATTTTGTGCATTAAAATATTCTTTATAAACCTTTTTATAGTGAAAAAATTCTTTAGTTAATTGCTTTATATATAAAATATTTAATTTTTACAAATTATTATTGTAAATTATGATAGTTATTAAAAATTATTTTATTTTATTGTAAAAAAATGGTAAATTATATTTTAATTTTTTAAAAAGTATTATTGGATTTCAAATTATTATAAAAAATTATTATTTTAAACTTTTATTTTAATTCAATATATCTCTTACATATATATATATATATATATATATATATACTATGTTTAATTTTTAAATCTTCTTGTCTGGCAAATTTATACCATTTAAAGTCAAATATGTGGCAAGTACGAAATATTTTTATAATATTATATTCATATTTCATATAATTTTATATGATATACTATTTTTATTCGGTGTTTATTTTAGAATTTTTAGCATTGTTAGAGACTTTAGAATCAATTATTATCTCTCAAGTTATACTCATAAATAACCACTTCATATATATATATATATATATATATACATATACATATTTAAACATGTTTAATTGAAATTAATATTTACAATCAGTTTTAGATATTGATTGTTGTTTTGTATGAAACCAATGTTTCACCTTCTATATCCTGTAAGTTCAATTTCGATTTATAAACAAGAAAGGAACATTCTGTCTTAGATTAAATTTTGGGGTTTTGCAAACTATGATTATCGCATGAAAGCTTTAGATCTAAATACATTTGCTCAGATATTTTTTAATGGTTATTGATAATGTAAATGAAGATGTATATGTACACTTAAAATTTATAATTACATTTTCATTTGTCTTGCGACAAGTCAGTTTCTTACGTTTGAATTATCCGCGTTATATTCTCAATTTGGTCATGGAAACAAATCGTGATGTGCAATGAAACGGATATGATGCTATGAATGAAAACAATCTGATAAAAAGACATGGTGGAAGGAGGAAAAGCAAAGTAGAACAATGAAATTAAGAGATGATGTTGTAAATAAATTAACACTGAAATGTAGCTTGTGTGAGTATGCACAGTAGAAGAACACCCTCTGTCTGTGTAGTCATTGAATGTGTGATTCATGTATCAACTTTACCCATATTTTCAGCAATTTTCAATTGCTTCGAAGGCCAACATCCTGAAACCGAGCATTCGTGATGGTGGTAGGCGGATTTCATATTCGTTCCAGTTCAGATCACTTCGTTGCATTGTACCCGCTCAATAGTCAGAAGTTGATTACTCTCGATCTCTACATAAATTTATTTTACCGTATCGAAGGCATTACCACGTTACCCTGTTATCACTGCTGCGATCTGTATGCTAAGGAAAATTATGAAGATGCTACAGTCTTCTTGTGTGGCTCAGACAACAGTAACTGTATATTAAGCAAATATCGTTCCGATGAATCTAGTGCTAAGGGTAAGTCACCAATCTACAGTGTCAAGCATGAAACACGGGGTCTTGATAATACATATCAGCTGTTAGAGTCTTGAATCCAACGAACTGTGAACAAAATCCCGTGTGACCTCTCACAGGTATGATTTGCTACAAAGCAAGATGCAGTGTTCTATTCTTGCTTTAATGTCTGCGACATGACATGCAATTCAAGTACTAAGCCTCGATAGCATGCCGGTCAAGGGAGAGGACGTGCGTCACTGCAACGGTTTGACCAGATGGTGATAGAAGAGTCCTGGAACTCATCGAATTGATTATTGACTAGAAGAGATGGATCGAACCTACAAATACACAGAGACAGGTCCTTGGAAGCTAGCACAAGCACAGTTCCACAATCTCTCGAGTACCTGTGAATTCGATTAAATGTGAGCTGGGCTGGATTCGCGTCACTGTAAAATTTTTTTGGCCGTTGCAGATCCCAAGCCAACCACAACGATGATGCAGCACTGATCAGCGAGACGCAAAACCCTAACAAAGGACGAAATGGCTCCCGCCGAAGCGCGCACCGAACGGGGGTTCCACAGGGTTACAAGAGCGGAGGGAAAATCAATGAATAGCAGGTGCCTCGGGGCAAGTCAGCCCCATTCGGTTGACAACCGGCGATGCCCTCACCTCCGGGTATACTGTGGGCTTTGAGGTGGTCGTGGGGTAGGTCATGGCGCCGAACTTGGCCGCCTGCGGTGCTTATTTGCTCCACATGGTGACGATCGTCGCTTTAACGCTCCAATTATCATCACCATCACATCCATTGCATTGAATCGTCCAGTTGCTGGGGGACTTGTGCATCTTCTTGAACCTGGTTGCTGCTGGAGCTGCTCTGGGAGTGCTCCTTTGCGACGATCTGCGGACGATGTTCCAGGTTTGGCTCCCCTCACCCGAGTTTATACAGTCCCCTGGCTTGTGTTTGAATAACAGAGTGGATGGGCTTGTTGTGCATAAATTTTGCATCTAGATCGTCGGTGAGTTGCCTGGGATTCGATGTTTCTAGGGTGCGAGGTTCTTTTTGAGTGGGGAAATGACGGTGGTTTGAAGTTGTGTGGTTTCGGGTATTATAGTGAGTTGATTTAAGGGGTTTGGCGTGTTGCGGGGCAGATGGATCGAGAGCTGATTAGAGATGCTGAATGTGGGTGACAGAGGTAGTTGTAGCGTGGATTGGGGATCATGGCGGGGAGTTCCGAAAACGAGATCCATGCCGGACATGGGAGAGAAAGCCGTGACGATGACGGGCAGGTGGGCAAGGATGGGGGGGAGGGAAAAGTTGGGCACGAGAGAAAGGATGGGAAGGATGTAAGAGAGTACACGAAAAATGTAGCAGTACCTGAGGAGGGTGGGAGAAACGATCGCAGCAGTGAGAATGTAGTTGTTTGTGATGAGCACCCTGGAGATGTAAAAGCGGGTATTGAAAATAGATTGGAATCTGAAAACTGTGAAATCAATGAGGAGCAATCTGGAGATGTAGCTGCTTCGGGTGTTGCTTGTGTTGTGAATGGCGTTGAAGGTAGCCGTGTGGAGGAATCATTCGATAGAGAGGCGGTAAGTGCAAAGAATTCCTGTAATGAGGAAGCATCAAGTGCTGCTGCACTTGATTCTGATCGAAATGGTGCTACAGATGGCGCTCAAGAGGAAGTTGGAGCAGATGTGAATGCTGTAGTTCACAATGAATCGGATGTAGAAGTTTCGGGTCATGTCCAGGAATTTTTATCTGCTTTGTCGAAGGGGCATGTTTCTTCTAATTCTGAAGTTGAAGACGTCATGGCGTCTAAGGATTCTGATGAGGTTGCTTCAGATATCATGAACAAATCTCCAATGGACGGGAATTTGAATGTAAGGTCAAACAAGCAGAGTGTGTCTTCAAGTGAGACGCAGTCGATGGATACACTGGCTGCAGAGGACAGCAGAATGGATAGCACAGTTGAGGATGGCATCGCTACGATTGTTACTCAAGAAGTGAAGATCGCGGAAAAGGTTAACCAGAATTACGAGCCTGAAGCACGTGAAGATGACGATTACACTCAGACACCGAACTTAGTAAATCGCATTGAAATTTCTCTATCTGAATCGCCCAGGTTAACATATGTTGCCTCGGAAGACTCAAATAATTTGACTTACACCTGCTTAGAATTAAATCCTAGCGCCCCTATTCACTTTAATAACCATGCTGCACCAACCTTAAATTCAGGTGAAGCCAATGCGGATGAGATAGAGCGCACTGGTGACGAAGTTTCTGGTTTAGCAGTATCAGGCGAGTGTGTGGGTTATAGTCGAGATATTGTTGGGAATGATTCAAAATGGCGTGTGCCTCAAGCAGCTGAGGAAGAACAAGCAGAAGGCTTGCTAGTGCCTTCTGAAGAGGCAATGCGCAAGAACCTGAAATCCAAATCATTTTCTTCAAAAAGCGCATCTTCTAAATTGGTCTCTGGAAAGACAGCAGGTGATTCAATGGGTGACGAGGATGACGTTGCACAGTACATGACTTTACCGCAAGACGAGCATCTCGACGCTTCCTCTCCCACTGCTTCCTCTCTCGATGAATCCGCTACCGCTGCGTCAAGACCACCTTTAATACCCAGTAGCAGTAGTTTAGCTAGTCCGAACTCGTCTCCGGCAAAACAGCTTCCTGAAATCGAATCTCCCTTGCACAAGGGAACCGACATTTCTAAGGAACAAAGTGGCGGCTTAGTTCATTCAAAATCCCTGGATGTAAGTTCCTCCCAACACACATTGACACCAAGCCTAAGACCTACACTCTCATATGACGGTGCAAGTTTCTTTCTTCCAATACAGGAGCTCAAAGTTTTAAAGAATTCACTGATGCCTGACGCCCCACTGGATCTATTGACTTTGATAGATACTGTAATTGATGGAGTAGATGAGATTGGATTCACAAAGCTTGCAAAATTTGTGAGTGGTGAAGAGTGCTTTTCGTATGTAGAAGGGGTAGCTTCTGATAATGTTGTGATAGCAAGACTGGTCGTCGATATATTGATTGCGAAGATGGGAGGAGTAGAGGGCCTGGACGAGAAAAAGGAAACGATTGCCCCACGTGTACTGCTTCGTGCAGGGCCAGCCATCCTAGGAAGTAAGCTTCTTCCATGGCTGCCTTATGAGGGTGATAGTGAAACCTCGATGTCTCCCAGAACAAGAATGGCCAGGGCCTTGGTGCTTGTTTTGCAAGCATGTACGAGAAATCGGGCGATGTGCTCATCAGCAGGTCTTCTGCGAAGCTTATTATTAGCATCTCAAGCGATTTTTACCCAGGAAGCTAATCTTAAGCAAGGAGAACAATGGGATACAAGTCTGTTGTTTGATGCTTTTGAGGCTTTGGGCTCCCATTGTCTTACTGTATTAGACCTTCGTGAGTGGTTACGAACTGTTGCTAAAACATTTGCGACTGGAAAGTCTCTGGACCTTGTTCTTACTTTGGAAAGAAGCATATCTGGTGAGGAAACGCGAGGACCTTCGCACACTTTTGAGTTTGATGGAGCAAATTCAGGACTGCTCGGCCCTGGAGAGGGTCGCTGGCCCTTTTCAAACGGCTATGCATTTGCAACATGGCTTTATGTTGAAGCTTTTGCTGATGCAGTAAGTACAGCAGCGGCAGCTGCTGCTATTGCAGCTGCTGCTTCATTCAAGTCCAACAAGACGTCAGCTATGTCAGCTGCAGCTGCAGCCAGTGCCTTAGCTGGGGAAGGCACAGCACACATGCCAAGACTCTTTAGTTTTCTATCCTTAGACAGTTTAGGAGTGGAAGCGTATTTTCACGGAAAATATTTAGTCGTGGATTGTGTCACTGGAAAAGGGAAGAAGTCTTCAGTTCACTTCACTTTTCCATTTCAGCTTCGGCGCTGGTATTTTATTGGGTTGGAGCATACCTGTAAGCAAGGCATATTAGGAAAGACTGAGAGTGAAGTGAAGCTATACATTGATGGACGATTATGCGAATCCCGTCCTTTAGTGTTTCCACGTCCTTCTAGTCTTGGTTTCTGTTGTATTGGGACGAACCCACCGCCTGCAATGGCTGGTTTGCAGAAGCGGCGGCTACAGTGCCCACTTTTTGCCGAAATGGGGCCTGTTTATTTGTTCAAAGAACCTATAGGGCTTGATAAAATGACGAGGTTGTGTGGAAGAGGTGGGGATGCTCTTCCTTCGTTTGGAGCAGGAGCTGGAGTTCCATGGTTTGCAAATAATGAACAGGCGATGTCAATTGCAGAGGATAGTGCAACTCTTGATGCCGAGTTAGGTCCTGCCTTGCACCTTCTCTACCATCCAAAGCTACTTTCGGGCCGCTCGTGTCCAGATGCCTCACCTATGGGCGCATCAGGTAAGACCCAATCATGAAAGGTTTTCAATTCACACGATTTCATTGATTTGTTTTTGTTTTTGTTTTTGCTTTTTTTTTAATTTTATTCCTCTTCGAATATAGTAGTTAACCTTTGTGAATCATTTGTTCTTAAATTATTCTATCAATTCTGTTGTCTGGTTTGAATGTTACTTTTGTCTGGTATTTGAATTTCGTCTGCTTTCTGAGGTGCAAGTTGAATGTTGTTTTTCAGGATTGCATAGGAAACCAGCAGAAGTCTTGGGACATGTCTATGTTGCTGCGAGAATTCGTCCCACCGAAACGATTTGGGCTATGGCGGAAGGTGGTCCAATGGCATTGTTGCCTCTTACAGTGGGATCAGTAAATAAAGAGACTTTGCAACCCGTCTGCGACAATGCAGAGATTTCATCAGCAGCAGCATCCTTATCTGCTCCCATATTTAGAATGTTAGCCTTAACTTTACAGCATGCTGGTAATGCTGAAGAGATAGCCAGAAGTTATGCGCCCCGGTTGCTTGCGCGGTTGTTGAGACATCTGGTATGTGTGCCAATCTTGGATGGTGCTGAAAGAACAGCATACAATTACAGGACAGAAGAAAGAGACGAAGAACTGGTTGTAGCAGTTATAGCTTTAGCTCAGGCGCCCAAAGACCATGTGGCCTTGAAAGTACAGCTTTATAGCAGTCTTCTTTTAGACCTCAAACTTTGGAGCTCTTGTTCTTACGGTCTTCAGAAGAAGTTGTTGTCTACATTAGCAGATATGGTCATCATTGAAGCTGAAACCATGAGAGGTGCTAATGCAGTTCAAATGCTTCTGGATGGTTGTCGCCGCTGCTATTGGTTGATTCCAGAAGAGGATTCTATACATTCGTTTTCTGGAGGAAATTCTACCCGCTTCCCAGGGGAATTGAATGCTCTAGTTGACGAGCTTCTTGTCGTCGTTGAGCTGCTTGTTGGTTCCTCAGCTTATGAACCATCACTCTACACAGATGTCTGCTCTCTCGTACAGTTTGTACTTGACTGCCCTCAGCCTAATCAGGTCCGCAGCAGATGGCTTTATTCTCTTGGTTGCGAATTTACGATATTTGGTTAAGCATGTGAATGTCTTTTGCAACTTGTTTAAAAATGGTTAGGCACCTTAAACATTCGCATAGTCGTTTTCCCACACCTCTTTCGATGGCGTTCATGTCTTTGCCTTGAAGAATGTTGGGTTTATTTCTCTCGATGTCTAGCGCATGAAGGTTAACTCGGTCGAGAAGAGTAAGTACAGTAGTTACTAGAAAGAACGTCAGCGCCCATTTCTAAAAGACTAAGCAGAACTGTGCATATGATCTGTTGCAGGTGGCTAGGGTGCTTCATCTTATCTATCGACTGGTGGTGCAACCAAACACAGCGAAGGCGGGAATTTTTGCAGAGACTCTTCTTGCTAGTGGTGGAGTCGAAATGCTCCTTACTTTATTGCAGCGAGAAGTCGAATTGGGAGAACGTCCAAGCTTAGTAGCTCCTGGCGACGCTGAAAACAAAACGGGTTCAGATATGCAAGATACTCAACAAGGTGTGCTGGAGAAGACCAATGGTAACAAGAATGATCTAGCTGTCGATGCGAAAGCATCTGGAGATGCGGAAAATGTCGACAACAAAGGAAAGTTGAGTTACCTTATGACCTCGAAATTTCTTGATGTGTCGGGATTGCTTGATCAGGATAATCGGCAATGGCCTTTACCAACCCAAGAAGTTGTTTCAGTGGCACGGTCCTCTGCTCAGAGAGGGGCAAACCTGGGTGGCATCAGCATATCCATAAGTGCTGATACAGCCCGGAATAAATTTCGAAATGTTGATTCTGGAGATGGAATAATGGTTGGAATCGTTAGTCTTCTTGGGGCGCTTATCGGGAGAGGGCACTTAAAGGCCATGAGCTCTACTTTAGCTGCTTCCCAACCTGTTCCAAAAATGGTGGCCAACCCCGTGTTAGGAGAAGGGTTTCCTGGTGCTTCTGCCACAGCTGTTGTGTGGCTGTTGTACGCTTTGGAGAAAGCTTTCCAAGCCGCGCCAAATAGGCAGATGACAGTGAATGTGTACGCAGCACTGTTGCCTGCCGTCATCAGGTCAGAGGTAGGGAATTCTCGCCATCTCTCTGCTTACTATTGCTATGCGTTTGACAGTATTGTACTGCAGTTCTTGTTTCTTCGAAGGCACAAGAACTTTTTGACCTTTTTGAGCCTGTTTGTTGGGAACCTCGTAGGTTGGAACCTTATCATCAGAAGATCGGCTAGCTCTCTATGATTGTGGGCACCGTTTTGAGCATGTTCAGCTGCTTTTGGTCCTTCTGCATTCTCTTCCATTTGCCCCTAGACAACTCCAGCTTCGGGCACTACAGGTCTTTGTTTATCCCATGCTTCAGAACGTGATCATCTTGTCAAAGTTGAGCTTTAGGGATTTCTCAATCCATGAAATTATAAGATTTTCTTCAGTGAAAAGTGAAAAACTGTGAATGTGCAGTTGATGCCATCATTGTTAGTCGTTGAGAAAGTTGCTTGAATGACATTATATCTTTTGGCTTGCGTCAGTGAAATTGGAACTTTTTGGTCTTTTTAAAGAGACCATTTTCGCTTATACTTGAGATATAATTTTGCAGGACTTACTTTTGCTGGCATGTACGCATCCAGAAAATAGGACTTTACTCACCACGATGCCGGAATGGCCAGACTGGCTTCTTGAAATTCTCATATCGCTTTATGAGGTGAATTTCCTTCAGCATTTGTCTTGTGTATAGAATTGACGTTTCATCCCAGAAAAGTTCTACTGTATGGCAAGACTTGTTGCTAGCTTAATAATAACAATTAGTTTTTGAGTAGTTGTGAGTATTGAGGATTGTTATGAGAACTATCTGGGTTTCAGTTGCATGAAGCATGAGCTTCCGATTGTTTTATTGGTACTGTGTAAATCCTTTTGCATGTGGTGCGCTGTTAACATAGACTTCAAATATATATATATATATATATATATATATATATATATATATATATTTTTGCGTAGTTGGTTCACTGTACTAGCAATAACTCTGCAGTGAATGCTGAGCAGAAATGTAGGAGCTCCATCATTTGTATGTGTTGCATGGCGAACCTCTGTCAATTCAGCTTTATCTGACAATAGTGAGTGATACAGTCAAATCCTGATGGACGTAAAGACACCTCAAACGCCGAGGAGATCGAAGATCTTGTATACAGCTTCCTTGCTATCATGTTGGAGCATTCCATGCGTTTGAAGGATGGGTGGAAGGTTTGTGTTGTATTCCTCTGTATTAGACAACTACCTTCAAACTAAATAAATCTTAGTATCTATAATAAGTACTGTTAGTTTGTAACTGTATATGTTGCTTATTTACGTTATCATGCACTTTTCTGTGGAGATTTCTGAGGCATGCTGATTTGATTCTTGTATTTTCTATACTGAGCTGTTTGCTCTTGTTTACTTTGCTAGGATGTGGAAGCTACTATTCACTGTGCTGAATGGCTGACGCTGGTGGGGGGTCCTGCCAAGGGAGAGGAACGGCAGCGGTATGCTATATTAATTTCACTTGGTCTCGATTATTCATGGTTTATTTTCAGCTGTGTTGTGCATTTCTTTTAGGGTCAAGTAGTCAGTTTGTTGTACTGATTTACTCCCGATTTCTTGGGGCAAGTTCGAGGTTCTGACATTTTGATCCGGCCAACAGTGTCCGCCTTACCCAATAATGTCCATTGCAGCAGTATTGTTTGTTTAAGCGCTTCGATGTGCATATCTCAGTAAATTGCTGGTTTTATCTTAAAACGATGTACCTTTATTTGATGTTTGGCAGACGAGAGGAGGCTCTTCCAATTATAAAGCGGAAAATTTTGGGAAATCTAGTGGACTTTGCAGCTAGTGAATTAAACCTGCAGGTATGCAGCATGTGGCTAGACGTTTATTTTTATTATTACAATGCTTGTAATCTGCTTTCCAACCATCACTTATGTTGCCTTTGAGCAGACTCAAATTGTAGCAGCTGCAGCGGCAAATGTTGCAGCTGAAGGATTGTCTCCACGAACCGCTAGGGTAGAGGCTGAAGCTGCTGCCGCTTTGTCCATGTCCCTTGCTGAGAATGCACTGGTGCTGTTAATGCTAGTAGAAGATCATTTGCGTTTGGAATCTCAGTACTTTTATTCAACAATTCCTTCAAGTTCCGATAGTGGTGGTGACGCTACTGCTCCTATCCTTACTAGCGTACCCAGTCGTAGACATAGCGCTATTGGGATTGAAGTCAGAAAGCCTCCTCTTGATAACTCTGCTTCCAGAAGGCTCTCCATCACATCGGACAGTACTGGTAGTCTATCACTTGAGGTACTTTTCCATCTTCTTTGTTTTAGAGCTTCAGGGCTGTCTTGCTCCAGATTTTGTTTTGTTTTTTTGTTTTGTGTTTTTATTTGTTATTTTTATTTTTTTATGTTTGTTTGTTTGTTTGTTTTTTTTTATAATATTATTCATGTATCTTTTGTAGCTTTGCAGGACTTGTCATTTTGACGAAGTTGATATTGATGGGAATTTTCAAAACAATCCTTTGGAATAGGCTTGTTATATATATGTTTTCTGACTGGTGATTTGTTTGTGACATTGGATATCATCTAATGCTATGCATTCTATGGTTTTATTTGAATTTCTCTTCGTTATATATATATATATATATATATATATATATATATATATATATGAGTGTTGTAAAATCGTGAAGTATTTGCAAATTTGAGTTGACCACTCTTAGGGAATGATTGGCAGACACTGGCTTCTATGGCTGACGAAAATGGTCAGATATCAAATGCTGCTATGGAACGACTTACGGCCTCTGCAGCTGCTGAACCATTTGACTCTGTCCGGTGTGCCTTTGCTTGCTATGGGAGCATTGGGTTAGAGTTGGCTTCAAGTTGGAAAAAACGAAGTCGATTGTGGTATGGTGTTGGATTGCCTCGGAAAGGTTCAAACTTAAGTGGAGGTGCTGAGGGCTTTGATGTCTGGCAATCCAGAATGGAAAGAGATGGTAGTGGGCAATGGGTTGAACTACCCCTGGTGAGAAAATCCATGACCATGCTACAAGCCCTGCTGTTAGATGAATCTGGTCCTGGAGGAGGGGCAGGAGGTATACAGGGATTTGGTGGCGGAGCAGGCACTGGAGCAGGAGGAGCTCAGCTGCAACAACTTTTGGATAGTGACCAACCATTTTTTGCCATGATTCGTATGATTCTTGTGTCCTTGAGAGAGGAAGATAGGGGCGAAGACTCTGTAGAATCAACGAACACCTTGGTTAGGACCAGTTCATCTGACGTTGGCTCCAGTAAGATGAGGGATATGAAAGTGCCAAGTGCGCTTAAGATTCAAGAACTGGCCTCAAGAAGAGCAAAATCTTCTTTATTGTGGTGGTAGGCTTCAAACTTCTCATCTTTATCTTCGTAATCATGTGCATCGTTGAAGCCGCCGTCCAGATCTGAGTTTAGTGCATCCTTCTCGTTGTTGCACCATGACAATTGTCTCCTTTCCGTAAGTGGGCATGTGCGCATGAAGTCCTCATTTCATTATTATCTTTAGGGAGCAGTTCTTTGTATCTAATCATTGACATAAAAGTGTAGCGTCATTCTAGATGTTCATATCACCATGCTGTGCATGTGATCTGCTGTCCACCGGTTGCCATTGTCCGTGCGTTACAGTCAATTTCATGTTTTTCGAGGCTTGGTAACGTACTAAATTGAAACTCTTTGTTTGCTGAATGGGTGCTCCAGTGTGCTGGCGCCGTTGCTTACGATGCAACTTTTTGAGTCCCGGAGGCAACGTGTGCTTGTAGTTGTGTGCATTTTCTATGCAGAGGTACATGTTGACTAATTATGACAGTAGTATCATCTTTTGCTTCGAACATGTTTTTCCCTTGCTTTTAGGGTTTGTAAGTCAGTTCTCTCTCTCTCTCTCTCTCTCTCTCTCTCTCTCTCTCTCTCTCTCTCAGCTAGTTGACAGGATCAGTGTGCATTGATCTGGTTTATTCTTTTGAGGAGTTTGAGGTTGTTTGACTGAGAGTTGCTTTGCCCAGGTCTGGCATGCAGTAAATGATGATAGAAATGTCCTTCGGAAGCAGTATCTTGAGACGATCGTCCCACCCTTTGCAGCCCTTTTGAGGCGTTGGAGACCTCTACTGTCGGGTATCCATGAGTTTACAGATGCAGAGGGGCAGAGTCCTCTTGCAGTTGAAGACCGTCCTCTTGCAGTTGATGCACCTCCATTAGAGGTAAATTTGTGGAATGGTTTTGGAAACACGTAGGTACTATTTTTTATCTTGTTTTTTGCAAGTTGTGTTGATCAAGTGTGGCTTAGGCTGAGGGTTTAGAAAACACCGTTCGCAATTTCAATTTTTTGCGCATTTGTTGCGCATCTTTTCTGTGTGTAGTGATAGCCTCAGACAGATTTTTGAGTCATCTGGGAGCTAGTGTAATTATCATTTTCTGTGTGTTCGATACAGGCCGCTTTGGCAATGATCACCCCAGCCTGGGCAGCTGCCTTTGCATCACCTCCGGCTGCCATGGCCCTGGCTATGGCTGGTGCTGGAGTTAGTGGTGGAGAGTTGCATCCAAGATCCAAGCGACACTCAGCATCCACTGATGATCGATCTTCTCGGCTTTCAATAACAGGAAGTTTTCAACGGCCATTGGACTCTCAAGCAAGTTTTCAACGACCTAATCCAATAACTCCAAAAGATAAGGCAACTGCTAAAGCGGTGGCTCTGGCTGCTGCACGTGATCAAGAAAGAGCAGCTCGGGTAGGCTCAGGACGTGGGCTGGGCGCTGTAGCCATGGCAACATCATGGCAGCGTAGAACTGTAACAGATAGAGAAAGGACAAGGCGTGGGAATATTGCTGAGGCGATGAGCAATACTTGGCGTGACTACAATAAAGGTGAAGATTTTGCCGGAATAAATATTAGTGAATCTGCGCACTCACTCTTCGGTGTCCTTCCTGCTATGGTGGAAACTGCAAGGCGGATGCGTATTCTGGAGGTATTTTTCCATGATCTGAAATAACTTCATGACGATATTTTACGTTGATTCTTCATTCTGTAGGAAAAATAGCGTAGAGAATATTTGACTTGTAAGGGTCTTGTATATTGTGCATTGTATATTGTAATGCTTGGACTGTTTAAGTTACAGACATTTACTAATACTCTAGTTAAACGCCCTCCTGTTGAACTGGATAGGTCAATAGGCGTTCGATAGCTGCTGCTGCTGACGAGTTCGGCACAACTGTAGGAGGACGAGTTTGGCGTTCTCTTATTCGTCGTTTGCAAGAGATGGGTGCACTTTTTGGCGCTATTACGAATCAGATTGGGCCCTTGGAACGGGTATATCTTATGCCTAGTTCTGCGGATCTTGATATCTCATTATAGCCTATTACTCTATGTGATGTCTCAAATGGTCACATTTGATGTCCTTTTTACACTATGTGTTTTGGTGAAGACTAGTTCTCCAAAGCTCGTAAGGTTGTAAGGATGTGAGTGATATGACTTGCAATTTAACAAACAACTTCATCATAAGTTCTCTATTTTCCTTCAAAAAGAAATTGTGATGTTATGGGTTATAAATGGAAACAAAACATTTCCGAACGCAGATATCCGACAGCGGGTGTGCTAATGAATTGCAAAATTTATCATTGCTTGTCATTTTCTTTTCCTTTCATAGTGAGTTCGTATCAAGGATTAAAGAAGATTCCTAAGCTGTAGTTAGTTGTTTTTATGTTTTACTATTGTTGTGTCTTTTGCACACTTATGAAATCATGATCATCTTTCAACTGAAAGTCTTATGGTTTTCATTACCGTACCGAAAGTGCTTCCGATATGCCCAAACCCTTTGATAATTTAAGACTCAATGTAAAGAATTTAGCTATGCTTCATAATCTGAGTTGAATGCAGGTGTACTGGAAATTGGATACTTTTGAGAATTCTCTTCGCATGAGAAAGCGATTGAAGCAGAACTACAAGGGTGTGGATCATCATACACCAATAATTTTTCGTGAGCAATCTCAGCGTGGAAGTTTTGACGGTGTAATTCCTGTGACGTCTTCAATGGCTAAGCTTATCACTGCCGATAGTAGTGCTGATGGCGCAGGAGAAGTGACTCCTACATCTGAGGAAGCAGTTTCCTTGCTCAGAAAGGAGGATCTTAATAGTAAAAATGAGATAGGCCCCTCAGGGGTAGCACGAGTGCAGTCCTCACCTACAGTTGCAGCTGCAACTAGTTCATCATCCTCTGCTACCCCTGCGCCAACGCCTGCAGCTCCCTCCGTTGCAGAGCCTAAGGAGGTTTTAATTTTGGAAATGCCTGGAGTTATGATTCAGCCGTTGAAAGTTCGAGGAGGAATGTTCCAGGTTAGTATTCCAACTTTAACACTCGCTCTTTGCATTATTATGGCTCGATAAGCCTTGTGATCTTCGGTGAAATATCCCTTGCTCTTCCACGTAGATGATTGCATGCTTGAATATGGATGAGAGCATTTACCTTTTTTTTCTTTTTCGTAGAAGCGTATGCAATAGCTTAAGCCTATGTTAGGAATATGGACTCTGAACCAGTCATGTTTCGACTTTGCATTTGTAGATGATTCCACGTGAGCATTCTGTGTAAATGTTTTGTGCAGGTTACAACACGGCGTATTTGCTTCATGCTAGATGATCGCGTGCAGATGAACGAGTCAGGTGTTGCAGTCTTGCTTGGTGCAGATGGTGTGTCTGAAATAGAGGCAGGAGGGGATGTGGAAGGAAGGAGGAAACAAAGAAAGGATGGGTCTAAAGATAGGCTTTGGCCCTTGTCGATGTTGAAAGAGATATACACTCGAAGGTAATATTTGTATTTCATCCGCCTCTTACGATTTGACATTTTTTGAAGATAATTTCAGTAATCTCGCTGGCCATAATTCTTGTAAGGGAGCTAATGGCAACGAGCACATATATATGTGGTTGTCTTTATTTAGTTTTAAAAGGCCTGGATTAATTTGGAGTGTTCAATTGATGTCTAAAGCTGCTAGTGAGCTTTAGAAGTATTAGTAGGAAATAGATCGTGGATGATTATAATGAATATCTAATATCTGTTGCAGATATGCCCTGCGAAAGAGTGCCTTGGAGATGTTCATGACAGATAGATCTAATTGTCTTTTTCATTTTGGGGTAAGTTAGCCCTGTTCCTTCTGGAATGGTAATGTCTGAAGACTTAGCGATGTAATTTTTCAAGCATATTTTACAAAAGAAAATGTAGTCTATGACGAATTGAGAGATATGAAATTAGGTGGCCAAAGCACCAGGGCAGTAAATATAGCTCATGTATGACATTTGCATTAATTTTGAAGGGTGTGGCTACTGTATAACCTGTAGTCACAAAATAGTTTAATGCGACGTGCATACTTATCATATCTAGTTTCATTACCTTTGTAAATCTTCTTTTTGACGCATAGTATTGACATCCGTATCTGCAAATTTTTAGGCTCGACAAGATATCTTATTCATTCTAGGATGATTAAAGTGCGTATCTTATGTTTTTACAGTATATCAAATCATGGTATTCTCCCAAACTTGTTAGATATGATATTGTTGCCTTCTACTATTTCTGGTGTATCTCCAACTAAAAGTGTCTGCCTGTTATTGTCAAATTTAACCATAAATTTATTTTGAACAGACGTCGGAGGCAAGGAAAAGGGTGTATAAGGCCATTGTCGAAGCAAACCCTCCTGTAATGAATTCTATTCATGCTGCTACACAGGTCTCTGAACAGGCTCTCTTCACCTACTTGATGCATTGGATTGTTTAGGGTGTTTTGATGTGAATGGTGAATTTCTTTCGTTGTTTTCTCAGTCGTGTCTTGATCTTTGCATCGGACTCGCTGACTCCCATGTGAAGCACTGTTAATATGTTTGGTGACATTTTCCTTCTCATCAGAAACCAGAACAAATGCTGAAAAGGTCACAATTGGCACAGCAATGGGCTAATAGAGAGGTATGTCATTTAGGGAATTAAGATTTGCCAATGTCCCATTTTTCTAATTCATTTTGCTCAATTTAGTGCATATATTAAGAAGTCATCCTTGTTCTTATTTTATTTTTATTTATTTATTTCTGTGTCTTTTTGTTTTTGTTTTTGTTTTTATTTATCTCTTCCCAAACATAAAGCTTGTGAATGATGTAATACCTACTAGGTTTGGTCTGGTCTTTGTTTTCGTATGTCTTCGACTCCTCAGTAGTATTGTTTTGCCAATCAGAGCGGACCTTTCTAACTTAATTTTTTCGTAAAAATTCGGCGCAACGCTTTAATCTTTGGGGTTGGATTTTGAACAGATCAGTAATTTCGAGTACTTAATGCAGCTGAACACTTTGGCTGGCAGATCATACAATGATATTACTCAGGTTTCAATTCTATCCTAACTGATACATTTTGATAGAGATTTCAATGAAAGGGATTTCTGTTGTTGCTTGAGTTAAGTGCTGGGTCATATTTTAAGAAAGATTGTATTCAATGTGAATAGCATTTCTCACGTCGCAAATGAAGTCGTCACTCCATCTGACCAATGTCTAAACGTTTCTTATTGTTTTGTCAGTATCCGGTTTTTCCATGGGTGCTTTCTGACTACACCTCATTGCATTTGGACTTGGAAGACCCACAAGTATATAGAGATCTCTCCAAGGTATTCCTAATTTTTACATCGTCAAGGTGTTGCTCCACGTTTATTACAAATTGCCACGTGCTTTCTCTCACTCTTGTTTTTTGGTTCTATGTAGCCAGTTGGAGCTTTAAATGAGACGCGTTTGAAGGACTATCTGGAAAGATATGAAAGCTTTGAAGACGCTACTATACCCAAGTTTCACTATGGTTCTCATTATTCGAGTGCTGGCGTGGTGCGTTGATGTCTTTTTCATTTCATTTCGTTTATGAGTGTAGACGTTGTAACATGTCCATATTACCACACCTGTAGGCAGTACACGTCCTTATAGAAGTATGTCACAGTGAAGTCATATCAAAGTTCTGCTTTGTGAAAATTAGTTGACACACCAATGAAAACTACTCAGCTGGCCGTTAGAGTAAGTCTTGTTTCTAAAAGTGACGACTAAGTGGCATACAAGTGTTGGTTTAATTACCTCAGAAGTAGAGTAGCTCGCTCCAAAATAGTCCTTCTGTGTAGGCACAGTCGACACTAAGGAAAACAATCAACTAACCGTTTTTGTTTAATTGTGTTGTGGAGCTGTAATTTACAGAAGTAGTGGACGTTAGAAGCTAGACATGTCTGAGCAAAGAACCCTCATGGTAAAGAAATTTGTAGTATGAACTAATGAACGGTTTTGTTACCGTATATGCCAGATAATATATTTTATGCAGCGTGTGGAACCATATAGTACAATTTCAAATCAGCTGAAAGCGAAGAAGATGAATTATGTGAACAGCATGTTCTCTGACATTGCATGTGCTTGGAATGAGGTGTTGGAGAACTTGGATGATGTGAAGGAACTGGTACTGCACGTGCCCTACTTGAACCCCTATGCTTTCTTTCTGATCACGTAAAGATAAAAGATCTCGCACAGGTTTTATGCACGTCCTAATGCGGTGAGATCTTCCTTCTTTATATGTGCAGGTCCCTGAGCTGTTCTACTTGCCAGAAGTGCTCCTGAGTGATTCAGAGATGGTTCCGGAAGATTCTCAGGGAGATAAGCTACTTGGTATAAGCAATTTCTTTCTCATAGTTTTGACTCAGTTTGTGTGTGATCCCGATTTACAATGTATTCGGTACAAATCTAGTCGGTATGCATAATTTTCCAGCTTGTTCTGTTGCTTGGACACTTGGGAGAGGTGGCCTTAAGTCGCCCCAACTCGTAGATGTATTTGTTTGGGGCATAGTTCAATGTCCAGAGTTTTCATACCTCCAATGCCTTGAAATTAAAGGGGCTATATAATTCGTTAACGTTGTGCTAGGGTGCAAATTATGTTATTTTGCATACAAGCATATTCTTAGATCTCTAAAACCTTTTTCCATCATCTACGTTTCGTTGCAGGAGATGTCAAGCTACCACCTTGGGCATCCAATCCTGTTGATTTTATTCAAAAGCATCGGGCTGCTCTGGAAAGTGAATATGTATCGAACCACCTGCACGAGTGGATTGATCTCATATTCGGGTAAAGCTTTGCCATAGTTCCACTTCTTTGGTTGTGATTTATCACAAAAACAATGCATTCACAAATCTTGAATCCATCCCTCGTGATTCCTTAGAACTTCATCCGAATTTTCTGAATTACCATTTATTCCCATTTGATGGTTGCTTATTTTTTCTATACTGACGTATAATGGTTCTCAGGTACAAACAGAAAGGCCCCAACGCTGTGGCTGCTCACAACGTGTTCTTCTACTCTACATATCCAGGAGCTGTGGATGTGGACAAGATCTCAAACCCGGTAATGCATTGACTTGTAAATGATGTCAAACTTTTTCAGCTTTTGTCGTAACGGTTAAAAACTTTTAACCATTAGTTCTTGAAAGCTGCTGATATTTGATATTTGATATTTGATGGTTGAGATCATGATCTTGTATTTTCTTTTTTCTTACAATGATTCTAAAGGTTTCCTGTTTTTCCAACTCTGGTCTTGATATCCTTGACGGTTTAGTGATGTGCATCTTGATATCTTTGAGTTTTTATATGCAGAGGATTATTTTTCAAATTTGAAGTGCTCTTTTATCATGGGAACATTACTTGGGGCTGCATGGACAGAATATTCTTCAATATATAGCTTTTAATTTATTAATTTGTCCTTTGTCACAATATCTTGTAGACTCTTCGTAAGGCAACTCGGGATCATATATTATACTTTGGTCAAACCCCACTCCAGCTTCTCACTACTCCTCACATCAAACGGATGCCAGCAAATAACGCTCTACATTTGCAGGTTGTGCTCTTTATTATGTATTTCTGTCTGTATATAAGAATAATGTCATTCCTTCGGGGGGGGGGGGGGGGGGGGGGGAGGTGGTAAACCTTATGCTCCATGTTATACTTTTGAAAATAATGAAACTTTGTTTCTTACAGCATGTAGATCATTTTTTGTGAGACTGAACTTGTATTCACCATGCTCCTTCTTCTTCTTCTTCTTCTTCTTCTTCTTCTTCTTTTTTATTTTATTTTATTTTTAAATCTTCAGACGGTTTTTCGCAATCCCCAAGCAACAAAGGCATATGCGATACCTTTTCCAGACCGACTGAATGTTCCTGCAGCTGAGATGCGTATAACGCAAGATGCTGTTTTAACTGTAGACATGGAGGTTCCAAGTTGTCATGTAGCTGTGCACCGGTGGCAAGCCAATACCCCAGACGGCAAGGGAAATCCCTTCTGTTTCCAGCATGGAAGGCTTGGAGCCACTCCTAATAATGGTGGATTGGTCAGAATGTTCAGAGGGTATTCAGAGGTAGATGAAGACAGTCGTTACCCTAGAGTTATCACATTGGCTGCTCCAGGAGTAAGGCTTGGGACTGTGGTGGCAATTACACCTGATGGTCGGTACCTCTTGACAGGTGTGTGTGTGAAGCTAGACAAATTCTTATAGTTTTCCACTTTTATAAGTTATCCTAGTTTGTTGTTTACCATAAGTTATCAGATTTTTTGCAATTGTCTTTTATCGTAACTACTCTCTCAAATATTAACTCGTTTCAATCGTTTAAATGATAGTTGTCTAGTCGCTAAAAAGTTGAATATTGATTGTATATTTGCAGGTGGACACGCTGACAATTCTTTGAAGGTTGTAGCTACAGACAATGCGCATGCTTTGGAAACTGCTTTTGGGCATTGTGCACCAATTACATGCTTGGGACTCTCGCCTGATGGCAGTACCTTGGTTTCAGGATCAAAAGATGCCACTGTAATATTATGGCACATCCTAAGTGCAGCTAATTCTGGTGTTGGAAGTAGCAATTCTGATGCTGCGTCAGTGGTGGAAGCAGCAGCAGCGGTTAGGTCCATAGCCACTACCGAAGCTACTGAAGCTAATGTAAGCATGGTAGAATTCAGGCGCCGGCACATAGAAGGACCAGTTTATGTGCTACGGGGACATGTTGATGAATTAATATGCTGTTGTGTGAATCATGACCTGGATCTCGTGGTATCTAGTTCTCACTCACGAGGTGTCCTGCTCCACTCCATTGCTAGAGGCCGATTCTTGCGGCGTCTGCCTGTGGACCGAGCTGACATGGTCGCTCTATCTTCGGAAGGCATTATCGTAGTATTCAACAGATTGTCAAGAGTTCTGCAGACATTTACAGAAAACGGCAACTTGGTTGCATCGAAGCTGCTTCCATCCTGGGAGGGAAGTATATCATCTCTGGTGGTGTCGAAAGATGGATTGCACGCTGTTATAGGAACAAGCTGCGGAAGGCCATTAGCATCCGATAGCAGATTGCAATGCAAAATCGGACCTGCCGCTGGAGTACAGCAGCCTTCGGCAATGGGAATGCAACCTGATCACCCTTCGAGCATAAGCAGGGCCGTTTCCATTCATAGTGATTCATCAGAGAATTCGAGTGTGTCGAAGGCGACAGAATCTGTTGGAGCTAGCAGTGAGCCAGCATTCACCTATGATCCCCAGCCAGCAATTATCCTTCTTGAGCTTTATACTCTCGAGGTATAACCATTTAGAAAATTGAAATTCATCCCTCGCTCTGTTAACCATATTTTGGAACCTGATCATCGACGATGTGAAATGGTTATTGAATGGAAAAAAGGTTTTAATGATGACTTTTGACCCTTCTGGATTATACATTTGTTGAGCAGGTGATCCAGAAGTTCATGTTGAAGAAGGGGCAGGACATTACAGCTATGGCTCTAAACTGTGACAATAGTAACCTGTTGGTCTCAACAGCTAATCGGCAACTGTTGGTCTTCACTGACCCTTCAGTAAGTCGCATATCTTTGACTTCATAATGTTCATGTGATGCCAATCAAGCAATGATTAGGGCTCGATTACTTGCAAGTTAACATCATCAGGTCATATTCATTAGTATGAGAGTTCTGTCGAAGTTGTATTGCGACTGGGATCATTGTTTGAAATATAACTCGTGGGGATTTGCTTTGTGGACTTGGACAGTTGAGTGTGAAGGTTGCACAGCAGAGGCAACGTTTTGGTGGAAGTGTAAATGCAGGGGGGTCTTCATAGCAGTTATCCAAAGGGTTAAAAATGCAGTTGCTTGTGGTAAACATACAATTTTGTTAGTATAAAGTCGTCACCGTTGTGCACGGCTGATTTTATTTTTCTACAAGATGAGCAGAAACTGGGTTATGGATACTCAAGGATGCGAGTTAGATCCTACTCACGAATTTAAAATTAGTGGGTCTACTTGTGGAAACTGATGAACAAGCATGTCTAGCATAGGATGTTGTGCCATGTACACTTGTAGATTGGTGCATAAATTAATGGTATTAAACAGCATATGAACAATGGTTAAACATTTACAGGATAATCACATTCAATTGCTTGTTCATATATTAGGTCATGTATTTACACTGTGATGCCTATGCTGGCCGCAATACAACACATCGCTTCAAAATTTTATATTCTTGCGAAGATGAATAATCGGGATGAGATTGTTAATGGTTGACTTTAAACTGCTTGACTAATGTTACTGCTAAGAAATGCATTGAAAACAAAGAGTATGTTCTCACTTGTCTTGTTAAATGATTTTGTGCAGATCCTGAGTTGTCAGTTGAAGATGCTTCAAAGAACTTTGTTTGTTTACAATGAATTCACATAAAGGTGCAATGTTTATCATGATCGTCAAGAAGGTTTGATTCTTTTCAAATAAAATTATTTATCAGATGTGTGATTTAAATCTGAACACAATTATTGATGCATAAAGATGGATGGCCACCATGCAGATTGGGACTAAAAGTATTATATTATCTTTCAAATATAAAATACATACAAAATTGTATACCCAAATGATGTTAAATTATTTTTAGGAAATTATTTTGATTCTTTGCAAAAAAAAATTGTTTAAGGTGTTTGAAACAGGGTACATATTGTATAATAATGAGTTGTAGAAGTATCGTGAAAAGCTTTGTAATTCCTAAAGCATTCCAAAACTGTTGGTTTTGTTTTTTCAGGGCTAAGGCTTTAGGGCATGTTTTGGTGTCAGCTAGGACTTATTATGGTAATTAAGTTTGCGATGTATTGTTCAAATGCATGCGTAACATGTCATAGACTATAATAATATTGTACTATAAGCATTAAATTAGGCTTTATGTTGTGTATTTCATGCTTTTGCAATTCTTTTTTGCTCATTTATATTTTGATGTGTTTTGGCATGTTGATGTGATGTGATGTATTAGAAATATGAGTGTAACTGCAACTTTGTTGAGTAACGGATTATAAACATATTCCATTTTTATGCTTAGATTTATTATTGAATGTAGTATAGACTTGTAATATTAAAAAAATTATAGATTTTGATCAAAAATAATTTTTTTAATAAAATGATATCAAAGTGTTTGATAACATATTGAAGATCAGAAAGATGTTCTTATATAAATGATTTTCTTTTATCCAATCAAATGCTTAAATTTTATCAAGGATTATTGGATGGTACTCAGATATTTAAAGAATTTTTGAAGTATCGATATATTAATTAGATTATTTAATTGATAGTAAATTATCTTTGAAATACATCTTATATTTAAAAACTATTTGGAGCCTTCTAAAAAACTCTTGTAGTGACTTAGAAATTCAACTACTTTTATTGTATTTAAATATGTAATTAGTAAATTTGAGTTTTTTTTGTAAAATAGAGCATCTTTAAGAAAAGAAAAGAATGTAAGGATCATCAAGAAATAATTTTTTGTCCATCAAAAAATGTACTTTAATTAAGCTTTATTTTATTTCTCTTCTCTTTGAAAAGTAGAATTTAAATTAATAAATTGTTTTTTAAAACTATCAAATATGCTTATAAAGAGTAATTCACTTTGTATCATTTAAATTAAAATTTGAACTCTTTATTGTCTTCATTGTTTTTTATAAGATCTAATCTTATTTTGATTGATTATAATCATATAATCATATATCAAGATATTATATGGCATAACTCACCAAACAATAAGTGCATTTTAAGGATTTTTATTAGACAGTATTAGAATTCATCTAATGTTATTTCATAATTATTTTCAATCGAAATATATCACATACAATTATGTGCATTAGGCGCATGTACAAAGAATCGTGTCATAATTGTTTTTTAAAAGCATATTGGAATTTAAATTGAGTAATGAAGCAGAAACTGTCCAAGGAAAAACGAAAAAATTAAAAATGAACTTGTATTATATGTTAGGCTATAGTAAAAATTATTGAAGATGTACAAGAAAATTAGTATAATTTATACAAAGAATAGCTGTGTAAGAAACCTCCTGCAATTGTACATTTTAATATAGAAGTGGTAAACATGGTAACAAGTCAATGTCCAATGGAGATCAGTTGAGTGTAACAAGTTACAGAGGATGTTGAATTTGTGTATATAGGATAAATATAATGTAAATTAAATTATCATTTTATAATACATGTCTAAAGTAATATATCACATATGAAATATGCTTATATTATATAATTTTACAAAAAATCATATTTAAAAGCAATATTTCAAATTCAAAAGTTGAAGTCAGAAAAATAAATAATAAATAAAATAAAAATGTTCCCTTGAACTATTTATTACACTTACATTTTTTAAATATATATATATATATATATGTATACAATATATTTCTTTATAATTTTAATCATCAATACGTTAATTATTAGAACTAATTTTATCTTTCATGATATCTTAAATTTTGATAAAGTAATATTGAAGTGATATACAACAATGTTCTTTTTCTTATCTTCAATCCAAAATTTGGATTAATAAAAAAAATTAATGTACACAACTACCTCTGAGTCACATTTGTGCTTAAGAATGTTTTTTAAATAAATATATCAAAACTTGCAAAATAATAAAAATTCATAGAATATTTCATTATAAGGTAATTTATATCTAATAATTCTATTATAAGATTGATCCATGCAATATAATATATTTATAATCCTGTAACTAAATATTAAAAGAAAAAAATATTTGTAAATTTTTAAAAAATCTAAATATACTAATAAATAAATTTGATGTATGTTTAAAGATTAAAAATCGTATTTTGATTTAAAGTACATTCTTCTAAATATTTGTAGATTTTCTAAAACTTTAGAAATAACAAAAAATATTTTAAAAAATATAAAAGAAATACAATATTTATTTATTTTTTTTAGAAAAATGTTAAATTGACCATATCTTTTACTAAATTGACCCACCTATTAAAACCATCATTACACCTCCCTTGTCTCTTTTCCTTGTTCTCTCCATTCCTAGCCCCTATCCTCGTTTCCATTGCCAAACCTCTCTTGGCCTTATTCCCTAACCTTGTTTTAGCGCCTGCTCATCCCCCCCTCCCTTCCCTCTGTCCACACACGTGTTGAAGACTTCTATAATCCTACTCAAAAATATATGAATTGTTGTTGTTGTTGATTCTTTTCCTTTTTCTTTTTCTTTCATGCTTATCACATTGCATCTATTGATTCTACACTTGAAGTCATTCAGCATGTTTAGCATTGCAAGCAATTTGAATCTTTGAGATTGATCTAGTCAGAAGACATATTCATGAAGAGCACCTTTTGTAACACATGCATTCTGAAATTTTGCTGGACAACCAACATTTCAGGCAAATCAATTCTTTGAAAGGAAATTTGTTGGTCATAATATCTTTCATGAAATCAACTTACTTATATGGGATAAGCCATAGAGGGGTTCAGAGTGGGATCAAGTTTTGGAAATGGGAGTTAAGAACAAGGTTGGGGAGGGGGGGGGGGTGTTGAGATGGGTGACAAAGGGCATGTAATGATGGTTTTGATAGGTGAATTGGTTTGGTAAAAGTCAAGGTCAATTTGACATTTTCCTCTCTATTATATAAAGCATTTTGAATAACTTCTGAAAAAGAAACTCTTCGAACTTGGGAAACATGGGAATTATGAATCATGGAAACAAAAAAACCAAAGTACAAGGAAACAAGGGAAATTCAGAACGAGGAAGCATGTATGAACAATGAAATAGATGGATGTGCCAAAGATTATAGTGTCAAATGGCACAAGTTTCCATTAATAATATATATATATATATATATATAATCTCATATAATAATTAAACTATGAGGTATAAAAATCACAATACTACCCTTGTCATAGATTACATAAATGTATATATATATATATATATATATATATACATATATAAATACATATATAAATTATTAATTATTATTTTTGAAATATATTTTTTCAAAATTAATAAATTAAAATTAAAAATAATCATATTTTGAAAAATCATATAAATAATACATTATATTCTAATATTTATCTTACTATTTTAATATCATCTCAAAATAATGAACAAATTTACTGCCCAAATTTTTAATAATTTATTTTTATTAAAAATTTATTATATTGTATTAAATTTTATGTTTTAAAATTAGAAACTAAAATTAATCTGGTACTGGTTTTTAATTGTTAATTTTAATAGGTTAAGTTCTCCCCCACCGGCCTATTGCTTAAGAAGTGGACTATCGATCCCCCTTTGTGTCAAAGGTTTGGGGGCCAGGGCTTAGAATGAACTTCACGTGGTGCGGAGGAAGGAGGCGAGAGGTGGATGAGGTGGTGGAAGGGCCAACTTCGCAGGAAGTTCTGGGGGGTTCCCTGCCAAATGTTGGGAGAGACATGCAGGCCTTACTAGTTCGGTACCATCGAACGGGTTGCTAGGCTCTCTTGGCATTCGGAGGGGATCTCAAAGGGCGGATAGCACAATTCAATCAGCTCCAAGTAGTTTTCTCAGAAAACAGACGCAGCGCAGTAAGGGTGTGTATTATGTTTCAATGTTTTTTGTAGATCACGACGGGATCCATGAGGGTGGGGTTCGGCATTTCCTGCAAGGCACCGGAAATCTAGTAGCGAGACGGAGCCCCTCCAACCGGACGGACATGTTTAACATAAGATGTATTATTTCATAATAGTTTTTACTAAAATCTTAAGTTGTGTCATACTTATTTCTACATTTGTATATATTTTTGAGTTGAAAAGCTTGTTTAGTATTATTAAGTCTAATAATATAATTTTAAAATATAGTAAGTTTATTTTGGATGGAGATCTTATGAAAAAATCATCAAACGCATAGTCTTTCTTTGGTGTTTTTATTTGATAAAAATGTGTAAATATGTATTATAACCACAAAATCTCAAGTTAAATTAGTGATGCATTGTACTTTTCATAATTTTAAAATCTCATAATATGTTGAAAGCTTGAATTGAGAAATTCTCATTATCCTGCTCTGATTAATTTTTCATTGATATCAATAATACAGATAATAACAACAACGACCTTAAAAGCACGTATTGGCTTTAAATATCTGGATTTTCATTCTTTTTACGTTCTAATACAAATTAAATGTTACCACGAACACAGTTTATACCAATGGTGTCGTGTTGAAGAATAATAATTGCAAAATTCAATATAATTGAATTGACAAGAAAGCACGTTAGTGTGAAAAACAGAGAAAAGTAGTATGGTGGGTCACATAAGAAAATTAAAATGCATACCCAGAGGCTAATGGCATGTCCAAGTTGAGCGCACCAATTCTGTGGCTGTCGATAACCCTAAAGATGTAACGTGCTCAAGCACAAGGGCACCCCGGGGCAACGATGGTTAATACAGAAGAATAGATCAAATAGTCCAAGTTCACACACTTACTACGGATTGCTTTGACAACGTAGAAAAATTCTGTTGCATTTTGAGTTAGCGAAGTATGCAAAGGACCCCTAGACTGTTGCAGAGAGTTCAGAAACAACTGTTCGGAGGGTAAAAACCACACAAACGTGGTATGAACGTATATTAGGGGGTTGTCCTGGGAAACAAGTCTTGTCATGAGATTTTAATACACCTGGCAAAACACAAATTCAGAGAACACTGTTGCAACTATGGTACAGATTTCTCAGTGTAAAATGAAGGTTGCTCTTGTCTCCTGTGCGAATCATAGCTGCAGACCTTTTATGAAATTCTCGATGAATATCTTTGCAGCATAACCTATGCTCGGCTCCCCGAGAAAATCTCTAAACTCATCTAGCTTTTACTTTCTCCGCATGTTTCTGAGTGCAAGATCACTGACTACCATATTCATAGGCGCCTGAAATGTCTGCAGAGGGGTTTAGTATGCCTGAAAATCATTCAGTCCTCTAGTGTCTTGCAGAACTTGAAACTTGCATCACCGCGTAGATTCCTGGTCAAATTTCTGCATCTGACCCAGGTTTCAGATAACCAAAAGTGGAGACAGTCTGAAAATTCTACTTAGGCAACAGCAACTCCATCAAATCTTGGTCTTTTCACAGGGCTATTTGGTTTCAAACCATCAGGGGATTTTCTTTTCCTACAAACCAACGAATTTGGGGTCACGCTGAATCCAGAAGATGGACCAGAGGATCTAATATGACCCTGCAATCGCTGTACATCTTTCATCTGTACAGGCTTAATGATGAACTCTTCAGCGCCCTCTGCGAGGCATCTGTCTCACAAAAATCAATCAAAATGATCAAGACTGCACATGAACCAGCACAGATTTGCACGACCCTCAAAAGGAACCATTGCTACACTTCTAAGACGCAAGAAACCATGAATTAGATAAATCCTCATTAACACCCCACACATAGTTTACACTGGTGAATGGCATTCACCTTTCGATGCGACTGCTATCGTTTTCTGATGACATCAGAATAACTGGTACATCCTTAAAAGCCGAAGTCTCAGCCTGTGATACCAATTACACCTTCATGGTCAAAAAATCGGATACTGACCAGGTAAATACGTAATTCTTTGGAATCTGTACGCTCAAAAATAATTTTGATATTACGCACAGGCAGACTGCAAAGGCAGCTGGAAAATCAAGTTCATATTGTTCAAAACTTTAAATAAAAATGTGCCATTACTGACATAAAACCAATACCTTCACAATCTTCAAAAGTTCATAACCAGTCATTTCCGGCATGCAATAATCCGTCATGATTAGGTGCACAGCATTTCTCTGCAAATCACATAAAATACGGTCTGACAGGTCATTGGTAAAACTGTGTTAGCATGAATAACTACAATTCGGCAGCAAAACATCGTAACGCAACTCCATAGTAGAATGCACTCTGACAATTACGAAACCTAAAAGTCAAGTACTAGCACTTACATCGGGCATCACTGGAGAAGCGCAACTTTCAGATAAACCCAGGTACTTCAATGCTCGCAAAGCACTATTCACAGTCGTAACTGTAGGAAAATGAAATCAAGGATCAAGTCATTCAGCTCACAACACCCAGAAATCTAGAATAAAACAAATAAAACCAATAATTCCCTGCCTGATGCAACATAGAAGAAGATCAATATACGTTCCGTGCCTTTGTAAGATGCTGACTTCAAAAGTCTTTCAATAACTTTTTGGTCAATTCTACTATCATCCACCGCTAGAATATGATACTCGGTATTGCTTTTGCTTAGAGCTGATTCGGCCGAAGTTACTTCAAACTGAGGATCTCCAGCTCTTGATTCCTCGGAATTAGAGTTCTCTACGGGGAGAGCATACACGCCATATCCTTCAGCTCTTACGTCAGTTGTCCCAACACATCGCACTGTACTTTGGGAGGTGTTTGATGGCCCAACTCCCCCGCCTTGAGGCTTGCCGCAGTCTCTCAGTTTCCTAGACTTGTCCCTGGATATACTTTTAAACTTCGTTCGTTCAGCGGGCTTCAAGAATTCCCACGACTTCGAATCATGGTAAGAAGAAACCACACTACACTCTGCTTTCCCTTCAAGGTTGCTGACGCATTGTGCCATGATCTCTATACTACGAGAATTTACACTAAAAAATCGACCTGAATTTGAACAAGCCGCTTCACTATTCATAGAAGAATCAACTGCCATGCATGGCTGAATATTTTGGGAACTCAATTCCAAATGAGACTTGTTACTGGTTGTAAACTAGATATTTAAATTGTGTTCTCAATGCGTTCGAAGAAAATCCCGCTTCAAATCAAAAATGCACGCTCTCAACCAGTTCTCTTCAACGTAAGAAGTCCGATCTCTGCATAACCCTTCCGTCACACTCTCGATCTGAATTACCAAAAGTGCAGAAAACCTATTAGAACATGCAGGATATGAAATGTAATCCAATTTGGACAATAATATACTGTGAATTGATCATCCTCTAAAACATAGATCTAAAAAGATATGATGATAAAAACGTAAAGCTCATGCCTTATTTAATATTTTTAATTATACTTAGTTTATTTACAGTAAGTATCTAAAAGTTTATTTTTGTAACTAAAATGTAAGTTGAAACAAACACTAGTATGGTACAAATAGCGAAGCCTACAAACGAGAACTTCATTAGTATGCCTTAAAAGAAGGAGCACGCTCACAAATTCCATTATTGACGATTTTTTTCAAAGGTTATGATACTCATCCACATTGGCAAGCACATACACTTATCTCCGGTGGTATCTCCGATCAGAATATATAACTTAGATCGTATATCAATCGTCAAGCATTCTACGACCTTGTCAAGCTCCGAGTGGGATCCATTCATTTCATACAGAGGGTATGAAATTTTCTTACATAATGACAAGCATTCTTCACACTCACTTTGTCCATCGTGATGGACACAACTGAATTATTTTTCAAACAGCCAACCAACACATACACACACGAAATGAAACAAACAAGAAAGAGGGGAAAGGGAAGACAGAGATCGGGGGGGGGGGGGAGTGGAAGGGGATGAAGCAAGTGAATTTCACCAATTGTACCCAAGAAGTGCGTCACATCGATTGAACTTATGCCTTCAAAAATTAGTCTCCACTCCTAAACAGCCTGTCATGGCATTATTTCTTCACTCTTCGACACTCCAAGGTCCATGCTAAAACAAACCTTCCTCATTCCACTGCAGCGAGCTATCTTGCAAAAGCCCTTGCACAACCCACATCGTCGCAAAATACGAAAAAGTGAATGTCCCAGAGTGTTCTTCTACATAATCCAAACCTTCTCCCCGCAACCACAATAAGCATTTCGTAATCCCATCAGCGCATTCGAGACCATCAAGATGCCAACTCTAGCAGCTAAACTGTAGAGTACAATTCCACTGGGCATGATGTGTAGCAATGTGATGCAGCAACTACACTGATGTGGACGTAGATCAGGCAGGAATGACCACACCGTTCTAGTTGAATTACTGTAAATTGAGGGCAACAACCTACGAAGCAAATCTCTAAACCCCAGGAAAGGAAAACCGTGCGAAACAAATAGGAGGAGGAAGGGCGAACCGGGGGGTGGGGGGGGGGGACAATGGAGAAGGGCTGTGGAGTGAGCAAGGAAGTCGGAAATTGCAGGGTTGGGAACAGTTCAGGAAGGAAGTAAAGAAGGGCAGAGAGGACACGCGAGGGTCGCAAAACGACAGGCAGCGGGGTTAAGAAGAGACAAACAGAGGCAGGGAGGGTGGGACCCCATTGCAATAGGAAGGTTGGGGGGTAGTAGAAGTAGTAGTAGCAGTAGGGCGGGAGGGGTCCCTCGCCAGGAGGAGGAGGAGCGTGCGAGGGAAACTAGATATCCTCTCATTCCTGGCTACTCTCCCTCCCTCTCCCTTTTGCCACTCAGTCACTATTGCCCCTGCTACCCGACAAACGCCGTGCCCCCCCCCCCCCCCCCTGGCCCCATTTAGCCCCGCCAGGCAGGCAGGTAGGCCCCCTCTTGCTTCCTTCCTTCCTCCCATTCCCCTCCCTCTATCCTGCTGCTGCTTCTGCTGCTGGATTCGGTTCCTCCCTCCCCCGGCCCCATCGCATCACCATCGCATTGCAATGCAATGCAATACAGCGCAGCAGCGAAGGAAGGAGGGAACGCAACGTCGCGCAGCCTTGACAGTGGCGGGGGGGGCAATCCCCTCCCCCTCCCTCCCTTCGTCCTCCTCCTCCCCATAATACTACTCGTGTTCCTTTCTTCCTTGCTCGCTCCGTCCCTCCCTCTCACTTCCCTGGTGCCAATCCCTCTATCTCTCACTCTCTCATCCCCCCGCAGCATTGAAGAAACCAGCCAACCAACTAACCAACCAATCACACCACGAAATAAACACGATGTGATTGTTTGTTACAATCTAAAGAGCACTACACTTTCTTCACATTTATTTTTTTGAAATATATATATATATATATATATGGTTGTTAAATATTAAGGCAGCAGAAATGGCAGTTGTTAGGTGCATGATAGGTTTGAATCATGATTAGAATGCAAGAGAAGAAATAATAATGTTGAACATGGTATTGATCTTACTCTTATATACACAAGCTAATACAAAAATCATGTGAAAGTTTCCCAAAAACTAAAAGGCTTGCAAAAAGAATATTCAAGTCATAGAATGATTCTATAGTCATTTTTTAGATCTAAAAATCTAAATTAATGAATTTACATAATTTTATGGCACATCACAAAACACTTTTCGATCCAATGCACATTTATAAAATTAAAAAAATCCACATTATTTTATAAGAAAAGTATTATCTATTTAACATGATTTCATTTTTTATTTCATTTTTTTTAAAAAAAAAGGTATTTGTGGTATTTTCTTGTATCTCTATATTTGCTTGTAGAAAGAAGTCTTCCAAAAAAGATATTAAATTTCTAGATTCTTTATGAGTCGTACAGTCAAAATCCAGAAAATTATATTTGACATAAACTTTGATTTATAATCACTAAAAAAATCGTTGGTAAGTCTTTAAAAAATTTAATAACATTCTATGTCTAAGAATAAAGACAAAATCAGTTTGTACGTATTAATGCTCCTGTAATTAAATTTTCATTATTTATAGAAATTTTATTAAATATATTTTTTTATTTTTAATAACATTACCAAGTATCAAGAATCTCTTGTTAAGTTTTAGCAAAAAAGTGTCGTATCTTATCATCTATTTTAGTATATATATATATATATATATATATATTTTAACAATCTTCATCTCAATTAGAATTGTAAATCTATCAAAGTTGTTTCTTTTTTAATTATTATGAACTAATACATGTTTTTACTAATATTTTTTAATTTATCCAAATATTTTTTCAAATTCTAAACCTCTTCTACTATTTTTAATATAAATTTGTATTTTTATACTACTGTAAATGTTAAATAAATAAAATTGTGTAAAAATTACCAGTATTAGTTTTGTTTTCAAATTGAATCTATTTTGATGCTATTTCCTTGTTGTGTATCAAAATTTAATTATTAAGTCGTTAAATATTTTCCAATAGGTTAGCTTACTTTTTAAAATAAAAAACATTATTCTACTAATAATGACATTTAACAAATATATAAATTACTAAGTATGTATCATATAACTACAAGAAATTTCGATTTATAATATAAAATTGTCCAATTATTTTCAAAAACATATAATGTTATTAAATTTTTACATAAAATGTTATTTTAATAGTAATTTTTTTATTTTTTATTTTTTATTGTAAAATAATTAAAATTAATAAAAATATTTCTTATATTTAATTTAAAAATAAATTTCAAAAAATTATAAATTTATTAGAATCCTCAATCAACTAATTATAATATAATTAAAATCATTTAAAACTTTTTACTTCCTTCTAATTCGAAACTACAAAATTATCTTTAAATTAATTCTAAATTTATAGACTTTAAAACATTATATTGTTAGAAAATTAGCTTGAGAATATTTCAAGTATTCTATAGAACATTCTAAGGATTTATATATTTTTTATAAATTTTCTGAAATATTTGATTATCTTTTCTAAATCTATAAAAATTTCTAGGATCCTCTAAAACACAATGAAAGCTTTTATTATCTTTTAACATTTTCTAGAAATTCCCTTTTTATTTTTTAAATAGTCGTTGAGAAGTTTTCATAATCTTTCACAACCACCCAATACCTTTCCTAGTCTTTTGAAGTGAAATTCATTTTTTACATATACATAGATAATATTTAAACATTACTATATATATATATATATGTATGTATTTATATTTACAGTGTAAATTTTGTATGATTAAACAAAAACAGTAACTCATAAGATGGAGACATAACCAATAACAAGGGTCAATATTGCAGCTGTGCTTCATAATGCAAATGCAATGAGGTCAAATTTATGTCACTGGCAGGTTAATTTTATTCATGCTTAAATTTTATTCATTGCTTAGAATTCCTTTATTTTACTTTTTCAAATGATTTTGGAAATAGCATTCTATTGAGAACCCTCACCTCCCACTTATGTTTAATTATTTTCTTTATTAAGCTGATTTTTATTAAATTTGTATATATATATGTATTTTTTTGGGGGGGGGGGTTTCAAGAGAGAGTGGGAGAGAGGGACAGAGCCATCCCCTGCTGGCCTGGGGGTGCTTGCCTCTCTAGGGGTGGTACAGCCAGTCTCCCCAAGCCCTAAAGTTGCCCTCCCTCTCTCCCTCCCTAAACCCCACCCCACAGTTTTGGGAGCAGTCGTTGTCGAGGTCGTGGTCTGGGTGTGGCGTCGAAATCGGTGTACATGATCATTCCCAGCCGGATTTCGTTTCATTTTGTTTCCTCTGTTGTTAAAATTTGCATTTGATGGTGATAAAATTGGCTGTCGAGTGGCGACAAACAGAGTGGATTTCTTCCTGGAATAGATCAGACTTTGGAGCTTGCGGAGGGCATGGGATCTGGATCTCAGGCCGGCATCGGAGTGCGCTTGTGTGGATCTGCCGGTCTGGAGTTCGCACGTATCCCGAGGCATCCTTCATTTAGATAAAAATCTATGAAAGGGAGCCTCTGTCATGGGGAGGGTCGCATGGCGGAGCTCTCCTGGTGTGGAGGAAGAGATCTCGCAGCGGCAGCGACCAAATAACGTGTGAGGCACAGTGTGCACTGGGAGTGCGGTGGTGGCATGGGTGCGGCCAACTCCAACCCTCATTACGTGTACTTTACCATGCCTTTGCCTCGAGGTTTCTATTCTGGGGCTCTTGGAATTTGCCAGTTGAAACATCATGCCACTCACACAGTTTCTTCATTGTCCTTTATTTATCCTCACTCATGCAGCGAGTGTCATCGGTGAAGATTGAGTCCTACAGCCAAGAATGAGGGGCAGCATATCCATAGATTTGTCACTTAACGCAGATGCTGTAGAAGCTTTTAAAATACGAATGATTTTCCGGATAGCACGAGGATTCTCTACTTCTTCAGTTCATGGCGAGATGGGGTGTTCGATGGGGACGAGTTTTTATTATTTCATTATATTGATCTTTCTGCGTCCTTGGTTCCCTTGTTCTCCGTTCCCCCTGTTCTTATATTAGGTTTAGTGGTGGTGTGATGTTGTGGCAGTGTGAAGCGCATACTGGTTGGATGTGATCCTTTTCCCAACTGCTGAGGGCTACGTGGGCATATGCTTCTTTTGCATCCCTGTACATTCTGACACCATGTGAAACCAGATTTATTTAAGCACAAAGGGGAGAAGGAGGAGGAGAGGGTGTTTAAGCTTCACATTCTTGTATCCTCACTCTGCGAAGATAATTAATTACTCTTTTTCACACAAAACGGGGCATACTTGATGCTTTGGATTAATGAATGTTAATAGAGATAGAGCATCTTCGTTTCTATTTGCTAGGATATAACCAAGAACATCTAAAGCTGATTCTAACCTTAAATGCAATTTTTAAAATTGCAATTGATGTAGTTAATTCTAAACTTAAAGCAATATTAGATCACATTGTGGCAACTTTGGGGTTTCAACTTATATTCATTTCTATTTTTGTTTCAGTAATTTGTGGACATATTCTGAAGAAGCATTTGAATGTTGTATTTTGTTGTATTTTTTCATATTCAATTGCATGTATTCAGATATATATATATATATATATATATATTTATGTATTTATATTTATACATACATACATACATACATACATACATACATATTTCTTTTATTTTTAAAATAAAATTATTTTATATTAGTTTGCTTAAATCATACCATCTTTATAGTAACATTCTTTGCCATATGGTTTTACTAAGTTTTTATGCAAAGTGGATGTTTTAAATTATTTAAGAAGAATAAGTCTTTAACTCATCTATTAAATTATTTTGCATTGCTATTAGAAGGTATCATGTTATCAACCACATGTATAAAAATTTATGCTTTTTAGACAAATTTTGTTAGAATTGCATTGCATAAGCACACATTTTATTTTTTATTAATAAATTTAAATAAAATTAAGCCATAAATAAAAAAGCATCTATTATCTATAGATGATTACAATGTCCTTATAATTTAATTAATAACAATAAATATAGTTCCATAGGTCTTAAAAATCTCTACCAAACTTAATGTACAAATATCATGTTATAAAAACTTTATAATGTGTTATTGTTTATTATCAAAAAAACTAAATTATAATTAATAAAATAAATTAAGACTATTTAAGTCGTATATTTATTTTCTTCAAATTTTATTAGTTTGTATTTAATAATTTGATTAATCATCAATGTCATAAAAATATTAACATGTATTAATATAATTTAAAGTTAATATTACCATCCAAAAAATATTAAAAATATTTTTTAGATCTTATTTGTAATTTTAAAAATTATAAATATTATTTGAATAATATTATGAATATTTTTATAAAAATACTTATTTATACTTTAAAAAGCCATTGTAAAGAATTGAACCAGGATTTAAAGACTATGAAATATGACTAGATCAATTGGATGTCTTTAAATACTATAGTAAAGTCAAAGTTGTAAAAAATTTAGACTTATTAGAAGAAACTAGAGTGACTAACAAATAGTGGTAGAAAATCAAATATATGACTTTTATATGAGTTGGAGCAGCTTATATATAATTAATAGGATAAATCTAAGACTTTATGTCGTCTTTAGGATACTACACACACAACTTGTCATCTTTAATGAAGTTCAAACCTTTAACTATACAATCAAGTTATCTTTGAAATAAATTTTAATTGCATAAATTTATTTATTTATTTATTTATTTTTAATAATTATTTTTATATTATTATATATATATTTTATAATAACTCGGATTTAGATTTTTTTTTATTTAAAAAAAATGATTATATATGTATGTTTAATTTTTATTAATATTTTATTATTTACTAATAAAAATTCTAATAAATAAATTATACATATTTTTTGGATATATATATATATATATATATATATATATATATATTTATTACTATTCTTCTTTTATTTTTGTAATATAAGTTGCTTAAGTGGTTTGAATGTATAAAATTTGCTTTGCAAGTTAGACAAATGTCTTGTAAGTTGGACATATGTTGAAGGTCATGTAGAACATTGATATATAGTTCTTAATTAGATATTATATATGGAAGTAAGAGTGAAGCCATATTTCTTCTATGTACACAAGAATGTATTGGTTCATTGAATCTTTATAATCTTTATAATTCATATTCTTAAAAGTTTGATAAGAGTATGAATTCATTATTAATGTTATATCTTAAGAATCAGTAGATTACTCTACTTTTCTTTTTCTTCTTGAAAGATTATAAACTACCTACCTTTAAATTAATATATTCTTAATTTTTTAATATATTTTTTAATAAAAATAAACTATCTTTATAAAAAAAATAATTTATAGTAGAGAATATCGATTATTTTCTTTTAATTAGACTTTAAATGTTTAAAAAATTAATTTTTATAAAAATAAAAGAAAAATTATGTATATTACATTTGATGGAATTAAAAATTGATTTATAACTATTGTATATTTACATGAGCTTATCAACATTTTTTGATTTAAAATTTTATATCTTACCAACTTTAATTATAGAAAATACTATTTTTATATCTATAAAAAAGTCAACAATGAAATTTTATGTCTATTCTAAGAAATTGTCAAGGACAAGAACTCGATGAAAAAGTAATTCAGACAAGTGACCCTTCACTCAAAGAAAGGTAACAAAATATAAATAAATAAGTATGTATATTGAAAGAGATACTAGAATGGCTATTGACAAAAGACAAGAAAACTAGAGACCCTTGAAACTAGACTAGAAGCAAGAAAGGAGTTGACAAGAGTGAAGAAGGCTTCACCCTTGTTTCTAAATATACTATCTAACTAGGGCTACGTGGCGACGTTCTATAGGACCTCCAATATGTGTTGACTTTGTAGGATACATGCCTTGACTTACAAGACAAGTTTTTCTACGTGTGGGCCACATAGTTAGCTTGATCTTCAAGCTAACAACATGTGTGGCACATGGCCAACTTGTTGACCACGTTTTTAATCCAAAAAGTCAATTAAAGTCACCTATGAAGTCATAGCAGCGTCTATAAAGCTTCTAGGAAGCTTCCATATTAAATACTATAGAATTAACTTATTTTTATCTACTTTTACTTACTTCCACTTATTTGTATATGTAATTACTAGCTTACATGAGTATGTCCATGACAAAAATTTGTGTAATTGAAAGAAATAACTAAATCAACCTTATAATTGAATTTATAAAGTATTACTATTACAACTATAAGGAAGATAAGGATTAATATGCTAAAGAAGTTTGATAGAATAAGATTAAAATTTTAAAGGTTATTTTTATAGCAAATCAAGCTTCATCTAAAGTTACATCTTTTTGAATATCTTGATGTTAATTATAAGAACTTGATGAAGGAAAATAAACAAGTGAGAATTTTTTTAAAAAAAGATGATAAAATAGAAATAAGAAAGCATATATTAAAAAAAACTAAAATAGCTATTATCAAAAGATAAAAAATTAAAGATTCTTGAATCTAGATTAGAAGTAAAAATAAAATTGACAAGAATGAAGAAGGCTTTATTCTTGCTTCTATATGAACTATTTACTTAAGAATGACATTGATATGAATTTTAAAGAAAGAAAAACTCAATACACTCTTATGTTACTCAAAAAGACTAAAAAATCACTTGAAGATGCTATAATATTAAACTAGAATGGCTATTGCTAAAGACAAGGAGGCTAAAAAGTCTTGAAATAATGTCATATAGGACTTCCAAAACGTATTGACATTGTAAGATACATATCTTAACTTGCAAGGCAAGTTTTCTATATATACGCCACATAATTAGCTTTTTTTTATAAACTATCAATACATGATTAATTTTTTGACCAATTTTTTAACCTATCAATTACCTACAAACATATGTAAAGTCAAGGTAGCATCTATGAAGCTTTTAGAAAGCTATTCTATAAAATATTATAAAATAAAATTATTTTTATCTACTTCTATTTAATCATATAAGTAAATATTAGAATAAATATGTATGTGTGTGAAATTATTTCTTTTTTTAGAGATAAGTTTCAAGAAGAGTAATCATCATTTGTTGAAAAATCTAAGATGTAAAAAACTATATTTGCCACATATTCTAATCTTTGTTCACTTTAAAGATGGTTGATAGGTCTTCTCAACCATTGATAGTATTTTATATCAATTCAGGAAGACCACTTTATTATTTCATTGTTGTTGAGGCCATTATAACTCCCTTCAAATAAAAAATTTGAAATATTGTTAAGAATCATTACTACCTCTAATAAAATAATCAAACATTAAGAGTTTCTTTTAAGATCGTGATATCAAACATGTTGTATCTTGCCATTTATTTGAAGAAAGACATGCCATTTTTGAAGATCTTCATCTTTATTATATTATCTTCAAGGTTATAACAATTGTAATGTCTTGTCTAGTAAGTGAGTAAGTGATAACTCTTAAGTTAAATTTGCTGATTATTAGTTCTTTTTTTTTTAGTATCACAAATATACAAAAATTACAAAGAAGAGTAGAAGATAGAATACTATCTTTTCTAAAACTTATTTCTTTTATGGCAAAGATTTATTATTTTTATCCTGATTTTGATGGATATTATTGATGAAAAGCTTCAACCTTCTTTGTTGGCTTCCATGTCTGTTTATTAATATCATGTCTCTGCCAATGAACAAGATATTTTAATCTATTATGGCACCACTTTAAATCTAAGACTTCTTCTATCTTTAACTTTTGATTATTATCAAATTCTATAAGAAGAGGTGGCATTTGTCTTCTTTTTGAGATATTCACTATCTTATATGACTCAAGAGGAGACACATTGTCATGTTGTGGTTTGAATACCATGTGAGAATAATGCACATATATATTTAATATAATTTGCTATAGAATGTAATGAAAGCTATGTTATTATATTTTAATTAGTTATAAAATATGATTAGATTATTACTTTAAAGAAGTTAGTTTAAAAAGATTATTATTGAAGTTGATTTTATATTGATAATAGTTTTATATATATTTAAAACCATCTTTATTAGACATTGGTAATTCTTAAAAACTTATTTTATTTCTTTTATTTGATATTTAGGACACATATTATGCAAAAATTATTAAAAAAAGGATTAGAAAAGGATTTTTATATAAAAAAAGAATAGTTAGGTCCATTATATAAATGAATATAGATAGATGATAAAAATCTCCATTCTTATTGGCCAAAATTTATACCCAATGGACTTCAAGGAGGCTGCCGAAGGCCTCATTAGGATTTAGGATTAGTCTTTCGAGTGCATTTGAACTTAGAAGATTAGCATTAAGAAGTTTAAGTTTTTGGCTATGGTTTCAATACAAATTTTGAGTGATTTGGAGTTTTTATGAAAGAAATATAGGTACTCAAAGTTAAAGTGTTGATTTTGTATCTATTGTCACTCTTTTGGACTTAATGTATGCATATAAAAAAACAATAAAGAA